GTTTTTAAATCCGATAAAATCTATGTATAATAAAATTAATTGAAATTCGGCTAGCTTGTATAATAATACTCGATAAAATTAGTTGATAAGTCAATATTCCAACAAAAATTTCAATACCTATTTTTAAAAATCTATGGATGTTACACTTGCATTTCAAATAAGTTTTAATTTTTTTTTAGAAATAATATTAATTCCATCAAATAAATTCATTTATCTATCAAAAAGTAAATTATAAACTCATTAAAAAGTTACAATCTAGCTTATATTAATTATTAAACATAAAATTAGTGGGTAAGACCAACTCCAATCGAGCTGCAAACGCATATCCAAACCCAAATTTTTGCTCCAACCGAACTGCAATTTCAATCGCAAAATGCGTCTGAGCTGATTTTCTCTCTCCACAAAACACATATATGTTTCGACTGTTCACTACTGCAAACTTTTTCGTATTTTCATTTTAACCCTTATATATTCAATATTCATATATGATCATAGAAATTTTATTTATTACATATATTGGACATATTTTTTGATGTCTAATATATTATTTATTTTGGTTTAAAAACTTTCTTATATTTTATTACTTTCTAAATTGGAATAATAAATAATATCGACAATCTAAAAATAATAACTACAAATATGACATGAAATTGACAAAAAAAAAAAGAATATTGATATATATATATACACACCAGAAGGAGTAGACAAAAAAATAGTTGTTACCTAAAAAAATATTTGATTTATTTATGTATACAAAAACTTTATTTATTATGTATAATAATTCAATCCAATCATCATGAAATAATTATAAAATATTTTAGAATTATTCACGTAAATATTTTCAAATAATTCATACAGAATATTATGAACGGGATTGTAAAATTTTCAAACAATGAGTTAATAAATTTAATTCAATAACCATAAAAATATTTTTATCATATTTTATAAACATTTATACAAATATTTTAAAATAATTTATCTACAAAAAAAAAATAATTTTTTTATATTATGTTGTAATACTATGTAATTTTAATTTGCACGAATATTTTCTTAGTCAATGAAATATTTTTTCTCGAATAGTGTAACTCATATTTTCTAAATATTTATTTTAATTTTGTATACATACGAATTATTTATTAATAATTAATTTTATTACATATTTTTTCTAACAAAATTGGAGTATAGTTTAATTTATAAAATTGTTAAATATTTCGATAATATTGAAAAGTTGTAAGATATATTTTAAAGGAGAATATTCTCAGAATATTCTTTGAGTTTGAGAATAAGTTTTTTAATTGGAAAAAAATTATAGTCTAATATGATAGTTACTGTAAAATAAGTTCGATAACGAGTTTTTATAAGTTCGATAACGAATTTTTTGGTTGAAGACGGTCTAATTCTAATTTCTAAAATCTTGAAATCTCATTTTCCAACGCCTTGTCTGCGTGTAAGGGACAAGATATAAAGCGTGTGTTTGCGTGGTCAAAAAAAGCTAATGCAAAAGCGCGACTTTAGCTTTTCCCGACATTCTTTTATTTCTTAAACAAATCGTGATGTCTTTTTGACAACTTCTTTGTTGTTTGAATTTAGGAATCTTTATATAAGAAACTCTATTTAGTATTTTATTTTTGTTTCTTGTCATGAGGAAATCCAGTTCCTTAAACATGAGATTCTTAATTGATATGGTTTATTAATTAATATCCTAATTAAGTTTTCTTATGTTAATTAATTCTTAATTAATATTATTGAGAGTTGGATCCAATCCAGATTCAAATTAAGTTTGAATTTTCAACACGTTCTCATTTTTTTTTTTCTTGCATGGGTTAGTCACTAATTATCCCATAATCAAGGTTTTAATAGTTAAAAACATTACTTATAATCTTAAATCATATCAGAACTTTCCAAGAATTAGTATTCGAACTGTGCATTTGCACAGATATGATAAAAGTATTATGAGTTATTTGTATGCATATAATAATTGTAAATAATTTTCTTGCATTTTTTGCAGGCCAAATTTACAATTAAAAGAGCTGAAATATTTATTTTTTAAATTGCATTTATCATATTGGATGTAATGTATATTTTGGTATGTATTTTTTTGTGAATTATTTATTATTTATAAATAATTTTCTTGCATTTTTTGCAGGCCAAATTTACAATTAAAAGAGCTGGAATATTTATTTTTTTTTAAATTGCGTTTATCATATTGGATGTAATGTGATTTTGATATGTATTTTTTTTGAATTATTTATTATTTATTTAGGAATTTCAAATACGTTTTTTATTTTCCAAAAGAAGTTAATTTAAATGTAACCACAACAATAACATCTAATCGCGTTAAATAGTCAACACATTATATGGTCAGCTGTAAGTAAATCAAAAGTTTAAAATGATTTTTGTAATTTTGAAGTGATTAGTCTGTTGATTATCTAATAATTAAATAAGAGGTTAAATAAATAAAAAGTAACAGTTTTTTTAGGGAAAAGTAATATTGCCACATAGGTATAATTTAATATGTTTTATTAAATACTCATTAGCAATTATATATAGATTAGGCTAATAATGAATTCAACTCGTGACAAAATTTGTTCAGAAATTTACAAAAAAAAAA